TATACCTCATTTTATAAAAGCCAAAAACATGTGTGCCCATTAAAAGAGCAAGCTGTTGCTTAAGCAATCTTCAGTTATATATATTTAGTTAAGTAAATAAATATACTGACCCCTCACAAAATATAACAGTTCAACACATAGAAAAGAATTTTAACTCTATAACTCATCTTATACTTTCTTTGGTCTTTACATTTTTTTTTAATCCATATGCTCAATTTGGCTTACCAAGGCTTTACTTCAGAACTCACACCTTGTGAGAGGAGGGGTTAGGGAATGGAGGTAGCCAAGAGATTTATATTAAGAATCTGGTCCCTTCTTCCTTCTTCTTTCACTTACACACTTCTGGCCCTGTTGTGGCTGAGGTCTCTTGCTCGAGCCACTCTGGGCCTCCTACACTTTCTGCAGTTGATAATTCACATTTCTCCTGAGAACAAAGGTGTAGCTTCAAAGCACAGGGTACACTCCCCAGCTTCTGTAGCCTGTGGGGGTGTGGGGGGGGACCATCTCTAGGGAGGCTGTTCTGGCATCATTCTTGGCTGAAGTTTTTGCATGGCATTTCCATGTCACTGGGTGCAATGTCTATCTGCCAGCTAGCCTGCCTGCTCTCAGCTAAAGGCCTCCCCCCTGACTGGGCAGCTGAGCATACTGCACAGTTGCCAAAATTCTAATTCAAGATGTAGAATTCTAACCCCTGCTCTTTAGACCCTTGTCTGGCCCCCATTTCCAGCCAAGTGGGTCCCTGGCTCATTATCAGGCCCTTGGGTGCCCTTCCCCCATCTTCACTTTGGTCCCAAGAAATTATTCCTGGCACCACACTGCCCCGGCCTCACCCAATTCAGCTCTCTCCTTGGCAAATCTGTCACCTTGTAGGCTGGAAGAAGTGATAGACTAGACAAAAATGCCCATGGGTGAACTCAGTCTCAATCTTTGTGACTGGGACATTGTGAAATTTTTTCTCAGTGACAGAAATACCACATATGCCTGTGTTTAAGCATACACATAGTGCTTTAACAATTCTATTATTAGAATAACACAAGTGGCATATACAGTTAAAAAAAAGAGAGAGAGAGAGGATTACTTTTTTTTAGGTATAACATGCCAGAGGGTAAATGGAATTGTCCTAAGGAAAGATGCTAAATTCAGACTGTATGGACTAATTTTTAAAAACTGCGCTCTTGAATCATGTATAACATTTCCTGGGCACCTGGAAATAAGCCCAAGAAAACATACACCCTTTAGGTAAAATGTAACTGCAACTGTGGGTGGGAACCAGAAGATAATTGATTCTTAAGAGGTTAACTGGTCATCAGTATGGTTTAAATGCTCATAAGATGGCGAAATCTTCACTTTTAAGTGCAAATCGAATATGCTTTGACTCTGTTTCCAAACCATAAGGCTGCCCTTTCTACCGTGGAGTAGCACTGCCAGAGCTGGAACACAGCAGAGGGTGCAGTGAGTGTTGTCATTTGGAGTCAAGAAATTATTTGAGTTTTTTGTTTTCTCAGAAGGATCAGGGAGAACAAACGTGATACATATGTAAAACACAGTCAAATGCACTTGACAACCAAGCACTCTATTTTGAAATTTAAATAAAGCTAAGACTTTCTTCTGGCCTAGGGGGAAAGCTTCATTAAAATCAATTAGTTAGTACAAACCTCCAGAGAATACGGACTTTTTAATTTTTTTTTTTTTTTAAATGAGAAAGTTTAAAGAATAAGGTGCACACAATTACCTTTCCTGGGTCCCTAGTGAATGTCACTGTGACACCTAGACAGGTGGCCAAGTGCAAACAAATGTCCCCGAGAGGGCCCGGTAACTCCCTGGGTGCTCCTCAGAAGGGTACCCTGTGTAATTAATAGATGTATATCTATTAAGAATGTAATGCACATAACCAAGGAGGCTCCCAGAGGACTGCGGGCACCTCACACTGCGAAGGGCAGGCCCGGCCGGGGACGTCAAGTTGGAGGCGGGCGCAGCCAGGTGAGGCCTGGGTCGCGGAGGTTGGGGCCGCACAGCTGCGGGCGCGCGCCCGGTCCCTCCTCCCAGGCGCGGAGTCCTCCCCGCCCCCTCCCCGAGCTCCCGCCGCCTCCCGCTGCCTCCCGGAGGCTCGGCGCTGCGCTCCACCTCGCGCCCCCTCTCCTCCGTCCCGGGCTCGCGCTGCCCTCCCCGCGCCTGCCCCCTCCCCGGCCCCTCCCTCCGCCTCCGCGCGCGGCGCTCGCAGAGCCGACTCCGGGGGGCTCTCGATGTAGCACCATGACAGGCATCGCCGCCGCCTCCTTCTTCTCCAACACCTGCCGCTTCGGGGGCTGCGGACTCCACTTCCCCACGCTGGCCGACCTCATCGAGCACATCGAGGACAACCACATCGGTGAGGCCCGGGTGGGCGAGGGGGTCGGGCGGCGGGCGAGCCTCGGGGTGGCGCGGGCCGGGCGCCCCAAAAGGTGCGGGCGTGGAGGGCCGCGGGGGCGCGGGCGGGGGTGGCCGGCCGCGGGGCGAGGGCGAGGGCGGGCGCGGGCCGCGGGGGGGCGGGTGCCGCACGCCGCTTCCGCCCGGCCCGAGCTGTCAGGCTGGCGGGAGCCGGGGAGGCGCCGCCGCGGCAGCCATTCCGCTTCCTCCCCCGCCTGCGTCCTGTCAGCGCCGGTTGCTAGGTGTGGCGCGGCGGGAGGGGGCCGCGGCGGCGGGCGCGGGGCGCTGCGTGCTCTGAGCGGCGCGGGCGCGGGGCCCGGCCTGGCGCTGCGGCTGCGGTTCGGACGCCTGCGGGCCGCGCCCATCCCCGCCCAGAGCGCCCCGAGGCCCCGGCGGCGGAGCGGAGCCCGCGGGCGGCGAGCGGGCGTGGCGCGGCGCGGCGTTGCGGCTAGGCCGGAGGTGCGCCCGGACCCGCGGGGCCTGCGCGGCGCTGGCGCGGGGACGCGGGGGAGGGGCGCCCTGCGGGGCCGGCTGGGTCTCCCGGGACCCTGGGACCTTCAGAGTCCTGCGCCTCGCGGAAGTCCTTGCACCACGCTTGCACACTCCTCCCAGCCTCTGCGGAGGGGGATGCGAGATGGGGTGCTTCTAGCTCAGGAGACCCAGCCACCTGCAAAAGGTGTGGCCCTGTGGGTCTGGAAGGTGAAGAGGGCCTCGGGTTGCCTGGGTGAGGCTACCTGCGTATGGCCTCGGGAAGATCACATGAATGTAATGGATTCGGCCATGTGGATGCAGCTCACGTTTCTGCAAAGTTGAGAGAGTAAATCACGACTGCTGTGCATTTATGCACGAATAAAATGACACAGAGCGTTTTGCCCCTTGGCTCTGTAGAATGCTTTCTCCTTGCACACAGTGGGCGCTTAATGAGCATTAAGTGCCTGTTTAGAACAGGATTTGATGTGCTGTCCAGAATGGGAACTAATCATGAAAATTATTTGCAAAATGCCATTGAAAACAGAATTCTGATGAGTAATTGTCAGGCTTTGAAATTTTCAAAGTTTCATAGTATCTCCTTAATAGCTTTTCCCATCTCTTCTGATAAAAATGAGATAAGACAGTGAGGCTCTCAAGTTTTGGTGATCTTAAAAGTGGTTTGATAGAATAGCAAACCTGCTGATTCATATCATAACTGGGTAGTCATCACTAAAAGTGCTCCAAGTATAAAGTAAGTTTTCTCATGATGGCTTAAACTCTAGAGTGTTTCAAAAGAAAAATTCTTGGTTCACTGTACTCCTCTTACTTCTTAAACTAAATGGGGATGATAAATGTAAATAATAGAAATACACAAATATGCATCATGTAAATATGTAGGAATGGTAGCCCCTAACCTACAGAAAACTCATGGCATGTTCCATCCATTTCATCAGTTATATCAGGATAAACAAAAATTCATGCAAGTCGACGAATTTACCTGGTTGCCTACCTACTTAGACTACTAGCTGATTAAAAGAAAATATAAATATTTAATTGTTAACAGGAATTAAACACAATTATTTCTTTTGAATAACTTGCAATCAGATGATTTAGACTAGTAGTTGGTAAATCATAAGTCTCTTTCTTGAGTTGTTAGAAGATGTCCCAGGATTGTTCAGATATCTTTTAGGAGGGTCAAGAGTTTATGAATTTACTGAACCTAAACTTTTAATGGATATCTTACTCCCAAAGGGCTAATATTTATTCTTTTTATAGTGAAAGTATTGAAAACTTGTTAGTTGTTTGGCAGAGATAACAATTATTATACTTGGGAAATAGTTTGATCCAGAGAAGTTATTGAAAATGGATGTTAAAATGAGCAAACACTTGGTTCTAAAGCTTGAAGGGGTTAACTGGAATGGCTGTGTGTTTCAGATGAGAAGAGGCCCCTTACCTTTGAAAGACAGCTGGCCATACAGAAAGAGATAGGAATTGATACCACAAAGAATAACATCTGGGTTAGCTGGTACTGTATAAATGCACTTTGAATGAAGAGGTATGAGTTAAAATACGAAAGTTCTCAGAAAGCTCTACATTTTTATTATTTATTGTGATTTTCTCCATATACTTTTAGAGATAATGAGATTTTTAAAAATAAATAGTGGCTTTGATGATTTAATGTCTTAATCAGCTAGTGGCCACATTAAAGATTCATGAAAAGATCCAAGATGCGTATGTTATTTTACTGTCTTTCAAGGGTCTTATTTAGTCTTGTATATAACCTTGAGAGGGTTAGAGATATGACTCTTTTTGAACTGTTACCATTTAATCACTAGTCAAGAGCACGGACAGAATTTTCAAAGCCTGTAGTTTTCACTATAACTATTGTTTATCATTCAAATCACAACTACATTAAATTGTGAATAGTAGTCTTACTTATAAATGCATACTTAGCTGCATTTTTATATGCATGACGGTTCTTACCACTGAGCTGATGGTGCCACCTTCGGAATACACCTGTTTTACCTTGTAGTGCCATCCGCCGCTCTTTGCCTCTTCCCATTTCTAGCAAGGAACAAGGGCCTGCAGCTTAAAAGGCAAGTGTGCTTCCAGTAGCTCTTGTCTTAAGCTGTTTTTCTCCTTAAAGATACTGTACCTGTTCTTCTGATTTGCTTTCTGCTTTCATTCCTTTCGTCTTCCTGTTAGTTCAGCACTGGAGTGAATTCCCATCTCAATGAACAGCCAATATTCTAAGCCAAAGCCTTCTCACACCCACTCACTTACATTGCCTTAAAACACCCACAGCCTGGTAACTGTGAAATGCTACTCTGGCAGCTCTGCTATCAATCCACACAGAGCCCTGGTGCTGTTTCCTGGAGACCAGAGAAGCTTCTCATGGTGAGTGGATACTCATGTTTGTAAAAATCACTCTTGGCATGACTATCTTAAATAGGTGAGATTAAACTGGTCACAAGGAAGCTTAGAAACACATAGAACTCTAAATTCAGCAGTGAAGGCCATGCCCCAGAATTGTGAATGAACACCTGTATCACTGCTGTGAAATCTTTTGATTTTGGTCCTCAGAGAGCAATTGTAATAATAAGAACCCCTTTTCAGCTGATTTCATCTTTGGGTACATGTGTGAAACTACAGCTGCATTTTGAATTTATGTGATAACATAGCACTTGTTTTTTTGACAAGGACAGTTCGAAATACTTGTTATAGTCTTTTGAGTATCTTAAATGCTACTGAAGGGAAATGAATAATAATTTAAGTAAATGATAGTAAATTGAAAGGTAACTAATGATAACTGAAGGAAAGCTAGAATAAGATACAGTGTATTTGGAGTAATGAATGTTGGAATTGTGAAGAAATTGGCCAGGACAATAGGCCCTAGAAGCTAATACAGGGTCTCAGTCTTGAAGGTGATGACATCAATGGTATCTGGGAGACCCAGACAGGGATGAGCAAACATCACCTAGGTTCCAAGATAGGACCATGCCTTTGGAAGGCAGACTTGAATATCTGACCCAATTTAGTTCTTGTAGTAGTAGTGAACTAACGGGCCTTTAAGATTTCTCCTGGATAGTAAGATCCTTTTCTTAGCTGTCATTTACGCAGTTTTCCATTATGGAGCTGGAATCTTATTCACAAGGAGTAGCTTTTCTAGCTAGGAGTGGTGTTTCTAGACTAGAATATCTCTGTGCTTGATAGTTTTACTTGTTTTCCTCTAAAACCAAGGTCATAAATCCATAGGTACTTCATTTCATAGAGTGGGTATATAAGCTATCTAATTAATATGTTGAAGTTTCTGAAAAGAAACATAAAGGTAGTAACTGTTGGTAATGTAGATTGGTTTCCCGGAGTTGACTCAGTACATGTTACAGCTTGAATGTGAAATGTCTCCTGTCGGCTCATGGGTTTGAATACTTGGTCCCCGAATGGTAGAAGGCTATGTAACCTTTGAGAAGTAGAACCTGGCTGGAGGAAGTGGGTCATTAGGGAAAGCGGGTCCTTGAGCCTTGCCCCACTTCCTGTGTGTGGTCTGCTTCTCGATTGTTGATACAGTGTGACCAGCTGCCTCACACCACACTTCTTGCCACCATGCCAGACACCCTCATACCCTGAGCCAAAATAAATGTACTTTTTGTCAGGTGTACTCTGACAGTGATGTGAAAAGTAACTGATAGAAAGTTGATGCTGAGAGGTGGGGCTGTTGTTGTAATAAATTAGACCATAGATGCCTTTGGAACCGGTTTGAAGGAGGAATGTGGAAGCCCTTGAGCTTCAGGCTAGAGAAGGCCCAGCACACTGTAAGTGGGGCTTCCTGGGCCCTTCTGTTTGGAAGAATGTGACAGAAGTGTGGTCAGTAGAGGCCTAACTCACAAAGCTTCAGAAGGGAAACAAATGCTACAGCAGGGACAGGACTGGAGGCCACTGGGGTTATCTTCTGGTAAAGAATCTGTCTTTATTCTGGGAACTTAGTGAGGCTGAATCCACAAGTGATGGACAAATGTGGTGGAGGGAGTCTCAAGGCAGAATAGCATTTAGGCTGTGGTATGATTACTACTCACTACCCTTTATTGTATTTGCTGGGTTATTGAACTACTTAGGGCTTTATGTGTCCTTGTCTAGAACTTTACCACTGAACTCTATCCCCAAGTCATTAATTGCTGAGACTCTGAAGTTGGAATACCTGCATTTTACATGATGGGTTGACTGAATGCTGTGGCTTGAATGTGAAATCCTTCTGATAAGCTCCCGTAAGTCCTCACAAAGTTGTAGAACCTCTAGGAAGTGGAGTCTTGTTGAAGAAAGTGGTCACCAATGGGTGTATAGTCTAGTGTCCTTTCCAGTCTGCTTCCTGTTTGCTGATGCTGACACATGTGACCAGCTGCCTTAGACTCCCACCAGCGTGCCTCCTGCACCATGATTAATTGTCTCCTCAAACTGTGAGATGTTAAGCCCATTCTCCCTTAGTTACTTCGTCCTGTATTTGGTCACAGCATCAGAAGTTAACGAATGTAGCAAGTACTTGCAGTGTCAAAGAGGCATGATAGTGGGGTGGAAGGTTGCACAATATGTGTAGGCCCTTAGCCCTATTGGTAAGTATGAGTTGGAATTTTAATTCTGGATACATATGAAAAGCTGAGTCCCTTCCATGTACAACTAACTGGTCTGTTTTCCCTAGAATGTAGCTGAACTGGAAGCACCATAACGAATCCTGCCTGCTTAAAACTGATCATACACACCTCTGCATCTTGTCACCCTCTGACTGTGGACAGCTTATTACCCTCTGACTTATGTGTACTGTGTCTTTTCTATGAAATGAAGACAATAAAAGCATCTGCCTCATAAAGTGTTAATGAGGACTAAATGAGATTACGTTGGTAAAAGACTCATCTACAGTATTAAATTATCTACATCGCTCAATTTCTTGCCATTTGTGTGTTTCCTGAATAATATGTTTGTAATCCTCATAGGAAAGTCTGCAAGAGGTTAACAGTAGAGGTTTGTCCAGTGCACCAATCTAAAGTGCACCACTTTAACCGTGATATATTTCTTCAGGACATCCTGAAGACATTGAGACTAGGAAGTAACCCCTGGGTCGTCTGCTCTGTGTTGCAGCTTTTGGCCACATTTACTTCTATGTGGCCAGAAGTACTTCAGATGCTGGCAAGGACCTTATCCACTGTGGACTAGGGAAGTGGTGTCAAGGCCAGCAGCTTACAACATGGCCTTTCCCTTGGCCTGAATGTATTTGAAAAGACCGGGACTAGAAAGGGGTACTATTCTTGTGGGCACATTCCCCTGAGGAGCTTTCCTGCAGGGAGGAGGGGTGACTGAATGGAGATATTAATAAACTAAAGGCTTGTTGCTGCCTTCCTTCTTTCTCTGCACCCTGTGGCTTGGCAGCGAGGTCTCTGTTGCTTCCTGCCTCCCCAGGAAGGCTCTGGCTACAGAGATGACAGGTTTGAAGTATGTACCTTCTCTCAGGCATACAACCACTCCCAACTCTTTTCTGTATCTCAAAACACTGTCTTCAGTATTTTCGCCACCTTTTCATTTCTCATCTAGGGTCAAAGCAGCCATATGAAAACCCCTATCGAACATGCTGTTTAGTAAATTTCACCAGTATCTGCTTGCTTCCCTTTAGTGTACACAGTTTCTGACATGTGACTAAAGTTCACATTCCAAAACTCTGCTTACAATTGATTGGTGGACAGAAGCCTCCACGGAAGATGTTTTTTTTCAGACATCCTGTGTGCTGTAATGTCTCCTATGTAGACAGTTTTAGAAATGCAAACTGACAGCTGTTTTCAGAATCTGATTCTTCCCATTGATGACAGGGAGGAGGCCTCAAGGCTAACATGGCTGCTGACACTCCAAGGAGCTTCCCAGGGATCGTCTGGAAGCCAGAGGCTGCTGTCTGTTTTAGACCAGAGTCAGGCAGGAGGCAATGCTCCTAAACCATTGAAAAATTTCTCCTTCCTAATCTTTGTTCTTTACCTTCTCTCTCTACATTGATTCTTCTGCCTTCAGATTTTGATGGTCCAACTATGACTATGACTGGCTACTGAAGAGATACTTTCTGAGTTGCATATATTAATTTTATTTCATGATAGTCTAATGGGCAGTGGCTTTGTTCACACTGACTTGGTGATGTGCTGATCCACAAATATTGTGTAGTTTTGGAATCTGGAAATCAAATCTGCAAATGTCAGAAATTCATGTATGGTTTTCAGAGTGCCTTTCATTTTATACTCTAAATCAGAGATAGAAGAATATTACATTTTCATGGGCCAGTGAGACAACTTTGGTGTGTAAAAGCTTTTTCTACATAAACTCAAGGATCTGAGTTCAATCCCCAGAACCCACATGATGAAAAGAGAAAATTCCTCAAAGTTATCCTCTGAGGCTCCTTATGTGTTCAACTCGTGTGTGCCTACGCTCAATACACATACATACACAAATGCACACCACATGCCACAGATGTACATACACATATACCACATGTCGTCACAGATGTACATACACACACACACACACACCACATGCCACAGATATACACACACACAAAACACATGCCACAGATGTACACACACACAAACACAACACATGCCACAGATGTACACACACACCCCACATGCTACATATGTACACACGCACATACACACACACACACACACCACATGCCACAGATCACAATCACACCACAGGCGTACATACTGCCACACACCACACAAATACACATCACAGACATACACACTGCCACCACAATTAAAAACCACAGACATACACATTGCTATACCACACACACATACACACACACCACTGACATACACAGTCACACACTATACACATATACATATACCACAGACATACACACACATACCACAACATACACACACACCACAACATACACACTGCCACAACAGACGTACACTCTCTCACAGACACACCAAAGGCATACACACACAATTGCATTTTCTCCTGGAATCTTGGGTTGCTGCGTAGTTTTCACTGTTTTAAAAGGGTCCACTGTAAGCAGAGACCAGATAATGAATATTCACATTAAGGGTGGAGTCTTTTGGCAGGAGACAAATACATGGACTTGGGTCACTAAATATACATCTTCTGCCCATCATCAAAGAACATTGGCAATCTTCTGATGGATACTGTCCCTTGTCTGACTCTCCAGCTGACCCCTAAGGGAAGAACTGCTCATTGTCTGCAAGGATGCAGAAGTGACTTTCTCCCAAAGTGGACCACATATATGATGACCAGTGGGGAGTACTGCATGTACAATATCTATAAGTATATATGTGTAACGTGTAAATGGCATATAAATTGTAGTATGTCTGTAGGAGATACATTCCACGACTTAGTAGGTGTGTGAAACTATGAATAATATCAAATGTGTGAGCCACAAAGAAACCCTGTCTTGAAAACCAATAATAATAATAATATAATAATATGTATGTATATATAGAGGTTATATATTCATGTATCCATAAAAATAGTGTCTAGATATATACTGTTATCTGCACATAGATATATGTGGGTAATATTTGTATATAAAAACGCTTTTTCTATCACCATCAGTCAGAACATACCTTACTCAGCTACCTTTCCTGACTTCATGCTTTTCTATCTTAATTAGGCACTTAGTATTATACACACTGTGATAGTTAACTTTGTCAGTGAAGTAGGAGAGCAAAACAAGCACACATTTCTTTGTATTTTCATAGTTTCTTAGTAAACCGAGCATATATATTTTTCTTATTCAGTTGAGAACTTTGACCTTTCACTTAAAGATAACACTTTCTTGGCACATCTGAATTGCTAACATCTCTACTCTTTGACTCTGGGGTTGTTAGTAGGTAAAGTAACTGACACTCGGGCAGTTATGCCCATTACTAACATGATGGGTGGGTAGTAGACAGAGCAGGACAGCAAAAGATTTCATCACATTATTTAGAATGTCATTCAATTTAAAAATTTGTAAATAGCTATTTTTTTTATAATTTTCTATTTGGTATTTTAAAACTGCTGTTGACTGCAAGTAACTACCATGAAAAGCAAAACTCCAGGTATGCAAAGATTCAGTATTACCTCTGGAATATGATACATATAAGGAATATATATATATTATACATATATTATATATTATGCATATATATTATATATGTACCATCTATATGTATGCATATGAATCCACATGTTTATATGTACATTTGTATGTCTATAGAGAGACACATACATTCTCTATCATTCTCCTTCCTTTTCTTTCCCTAATATCAATGGCTGATGCCCATGGCTGGGAGAATTACCCCATGTTTTTAGTATTACCCCTTATTTCTAGTGGGGTGTATGTATCTGAAGAGACCAGGTATAGATGGACAAGATAAATGACAGGGGCCACAGGGACTGAGTTCTTGTGATGGTATTGCACAACCCCAAGGCCTCTCCTTTGAACAGTGCATTTTTGTGTATGTGCCAGGTTTTAAATGGGGTCATGCAGCACATTTGAGGCTCCGGGGAAGCCCAGCACTCACAGGATTGGAATTTGTTCAGTTTGCAAAAGAATTTGACAGCACTCTCAATATTTTTCTGCACTCAACTTGTCACATTTCTTCATAGGTTCAGTGATGTTGGAGTTAAGAGTGGTTTTGAGAGACAACTAAGGACATGGCGAACTGGGGACACCTTTAGTTTGGTTTTGGGGACGTGTTGATGAAGTTCATAGTCATCTGGTATCTAGGTGTTTCCCTGGCCATGCTCTGGTGAGAATTGCTTTCCAGGAACATTGCCCAGCTCACATAGGGACCTTTCACAAAGGCTTGGGTCAGAGGCAGCACTGAAGCATAAATGTGAACTGCAATGCCTGTCATGGGGAGTGGGTTGAAGTATGGAGCCAGAAAGTGGGTCAGTAGATGTATAAAATTCATTCTTAACCTCAGTTCATCAGGATAGAAGTCTTCCTCTATTAGGAAGGTATTCAGTTAATACTAATAAGCAACTACAGATGCACTTGGAAGGAGTCTCTGTGTTTAAGTGTCCTGGCTTATTTGGCATGACTGTACATGACAATGAAAGATGGTGACAACAAAGTGCCATTACTAAAAGAATCTGGGGAGTTAGTCCATGCATTGAAAAATCTTAAATGTCCTAAGATTTTATGGCTCATATATGAAAGAGAGGCATTTGCAAATTTGACAGTTGTAAGACTTGATATGACATTACCAACAAAGATACAGGATTCTAAAAGTAATTCTTTTGAGATATTAATAATTACAAATTGAATTTGACTCCCTATGCTTGGGAGAAGGCTGGTTTATCTTTCCACCTACAGAAAGTGATTTTAATGCAAATTATTGCCATGAAAATTCATGAGCATGCATAGCTCCAAGCAGAGATTAACAGTATATCTGACTATTAATACACACACAGTCTTTTTTGGGATTTTGAATTTATAATGTTTTGGTATGACCAGTTTATAAAATTTTGTTTTTACTTCTTAATTGGAATAATCAATTTCATAAGGGTTTTACACATATAATATTATAATATTTTTTCCACTGAGGAGGTCTACAGTAGTAGACTACATAAAACTTGGGTTAACTCCCTAGGCTTCCAGTTAGGGACTCATCACCTTGTTCTGGAAACTATGCTATTTAATTACTCTCCCAGCCCACATGGTGAAGCAATCATTCTGCTCATCATGCAAGTACTAACTTCCTTCCAAATTGGAGCATAATATGTGCGATATGAGCTGTTTTGCTTATAGCAAGAATAATTTCCTTCAGTACAAAAAGCCTCTTCATCTTATGAAGATTATTTGTCAGTCCTTCCCTGCATCTTGTAGCATCTGTCATGGGTGTGTCCCTAAGTATACTCTCTCCCATCCAAAATTCAGCTCCCGCCTAGAA